CTACTACTACTACTACTACTACGACTACTACTACGACTACTACTACTACTACTACGACTACTACTACTACTACTACTGCTGCTACTACTACTACTAATACTACTACTACTACTACTGCTGTAAGAACAGCAACAACAACTACCACTACTACTACTACAACTATGAGCAATCTACCAGGTAGTAATACCAGCAATGCTCATACTACATATGATTATCAAGACACATATTAATACGAAAACGACGAATAATAAGAAGAGGGGGGTGAGGCATTGTCACACACTACATGTGCTGAGAGTGTGGTTTTTCACGCTGTACATTCGCGTGCAGTGACCATGTATGTGACTCGCATCCGCAAGTGTGAACAGCACGTTGAACCGCTTGCCTACGACACAATTTGCCACGTTCGCCTCAAGGCATTTCATAGGTCGGGAGGTGTCGGCATGTCTGGTATCAGTCTGGCGCTCGGTCATCGAGCGAAGACGTGCAGAGCTGGAGCCAGCTCGCACTAGAGACTCAAGCCAATCAGGAGAAAGGAACGCTGTGGGGCCCTCGTCCCTCGCAAACAACGAACAACTCACCTGGATCAGTGATCCGCTGTTTGTAATACGGTTTGGCAAGACACCCAATCCTAGTCGACTGGTAATCGCCTGGGGCCCCAGGGCCCGAGGCACGCGTATTCTGGGCGGGGGGTCCGTGGGCCGCTCGGAGGCCCCAGGGCGCTCGAGCGAGGGAGGAGGAAAACAGGAAAAACATGATAACCAGTAAACAAAATTTGTTTTCACATGGACAAAACAGGGGAACATAGCAAAGGCAGCGACAGTAACAGGTTTCGTTGTTTGTCCGGTTTTCCCATGTGAAAGCACGGTTGTTTCAATGTGTTTCTTGTTTTTCTGGTTTTCCTCTCCTCCGTTTTGCGGCAGCCACAAAACGGTCCCCTTGCGAAAAAGCTATTACACATGGGTTCTAAGTGTGGAGGCCACTGCACTCCCCTATCACTGGACATCCTTGTGTCGGGTCGCCACACAAGTAATCCTTGTGGAAAGGCTGCTACAAAGGATTTTAAGTGTGGAGCGTCTGCACCATAAAAGTACCGACGGTCAAAGGTCTTCCTAGCTTTTTCTTTTTCTTCCATGGGAAAGCACAAGCTTTTTCTTGTTGTCCCTCATGTTGTTCCATGTTTCCCGCTCCAGCTTTCCTGGGCTCAAGGTGCCGCCGTTGCAGACCCCCCCGCGCTGATTTTTTTTGCGGGAAGGCAACCACAAAACGGCCCCCTTGCGAAAAAGCTATTGCACATGGGTTCTAAGTGTGGAGGCCACTGCACTCCCCTATCACTGGACATCCTTGTGTCGGGTCGCCACACAAGCAATCCTTGTGTAAAGGCTGCTACAAAGGATTTTAAGTGTGGAGCGTCTGCACCATAAAAGTACCGACGGTCAAAGGTCTTCCTAGCTTTTTCTTTTTCTTCCATGGGAAAGCACAAGCTTTTTCTTGTTGTCCCTCATGTTGTTCCATGTTTCCCGCTCCAGCTTTCCTGGGCTCAAGGTGCCGCCGTTGCAGACCCCCCCGCACTGAAAACCCTTGTGGTAAGGCCGCCACACAAAAGAACTCCCTTTGTAAAAGGCTGTTACACAAGGGCTCTAAGTGTGGAGGCCACTGCAGATCCCCCTCGCTTGAAATCCGTGTGTAAGGTCGCCACACAAGGAATCCTTGTGTAAAGGCTGTTGCAAAAGCATTTTAAGTGTGGAGCGTCTACGCCATAAAAGTACCTACAGTTACTTCCTCCATCCCTTGAGCGCACTGGGCACTCCCAGCGCCCCAGGCACCTTCCTATTTGTTCCGGTGAAAGCACATGATTATTCCTGTTTTTCATTTTCGTTTTTTTAATTTCTGTTTTTCCTGAGTTCAAGGTGCCGCAAGGCCGCCACAGAAGGACTCCCTTGATAAAGGTTTTTACACAAGGTTCATGAGTATGAAGATCACTGCAGACCCCCCTCACTTGAAATCCTTGTGTATGGTCGCCACAAAAGGATTTTTTATTACAACAAATGTTCTTTGTGTAAAGGCTGCTACGCATGTTTTCTAGTGTGGAACGTCTGCGCCAGAAAAGTACCCACAGTCACATGTCTTCCTGTTGTCCGAACTTCCAATATGAAAAACACATGTTTTTTCCTGTTGTTTCTGTTTTTTTCTCGGTTTTCCTCTTGAGCTTTCCTGTGCTCAAGGTGCCGCCATTGCAGATCCCCCACAACGAAAACTCCTTTGTAAGGCCGCCACGAAAAGGAATCATTTTGTAAAGGCTGCTATGAGAGGATTCTTCTTTGGGGGATCTGCAGTGGCCTCCACAGTGGAAAACACTCGGGAAGCAATGCGACTACAATGAGAATACGATCGGGATTTCTCCATATCCCTCCTCTCCCTCCTGGAATAAGAAGACGATCGACGTTGCAACCGATGATGGAGATCCATAAGATGATGCTGATGCTGATGCTGATGCTGATGCTGATGCTGATGCTGATGCTGATGCTGATGCTGATGCTGATGATGATGATGATGATGATGATGATGCTGAGGAGGAGGAGGAGGAGGAGGAGTAGGAGGAGGAGGCGCAATCTGCCAAACAGGAGGGCCCCACAGCGTCCCCCTCTCGCCAATAATAGGAGACGTGGACTTCCTGATCCCTTTGCGGATGTGCCCGAGTGCAGGGTGTTCGGGCGTAGCGTGGAGTTGCCGGCCGACCCCACCTTGGTGGAGGCCATGGCTTACCTCACCATCCCTGTCTCCGAACACGACCTCCGACCAACTCCACCCCGCCCCTCTCCCTTCAGTGGCATTGGCACGGTCTCTGGCAACAAAAGGCGTTGTTCTCATTGGTGGATCAAGCGAGTCTTTGAAGTAAATCCCACGGCCTCCTGTACTTCTCATGGCCTCATGGTGGCTCGCGTTTCGTTTCAAGGGGTTTGCGTGATCTCTCTGCTTTTCCTCAGCGAAGTCGGGGTGCGTTACCCTCATTTGGGTCGCGGGGGGTCCGTCCTGGCGTGGCCCTTCGGTGCACGGGCCTGGGGGCACTGCTGGCCTTCTCCCGTCCTCTCCGCTCTGCAAATTTGCCCCTCGGATCGACGCGCTCTCTCCCCCAACGAGTGGGCTGCAGTGCGTGACGATAGCCGTGCTTGGCGCGTGGCCTCTGTCCTGAAACTGGTTGCCGCCCTTTGCCACATCATGTTCGTCTGTGCTATTGACGCGCCCATGTTTATCTCATCGCTGCGCCTGTGGGAAAACACACAAAACACAGCCTGTGGGACAAAACACAAAACACACAGTCTGTGTGTTTTTCCCTACAGTGTGTGTGTGAGAGAGTGTGTATGTTTTTTGTGTGTGTGTTTTTCCCACAGGCTGTGTTTTTTTGTTGGCACCTTTCAAGATGTTTGGTCGCCATGGCACGCCGTGCGTCAGATCGCGGCGGGCGGCCGCCACCGCTAGCGTAGGCTGCCTTCTTGCTGGAGAGAGGGCTCGGCGGAGGGATTCCGTAATGGGGATGCGACCCGCAGCGGAGTGGACAGTGCTCCCCGAGGCTTTCGCTGAATTTTGTGTTCGGGACGCTGGGCAGAGTCACTCCGCGTCGGAGGACGCCGGTGAAGTCTGGTGTTTCCACCCCTGATGGTCCCTCCGCATCCCTCTGCTGCTCTGCTGCCCCCCCCGCCCCCTTTTCCCTCGTCCATTACCGGGCTGAGATTGGTGGGCAAGTCGTGCGTCTTCAAATCCCGATTCCGCTCCCATTTTGATGGTGGAGGAGGAGGAGGAGGAGAAGGGGGAGGTGGAGGAGGAGGAGGAAGAGGAGGAGGAGGAGGAGGTGGTGGAGGAGGAGGAGGAGAAGGAGGAGGAGGAGGAGAAGGATAAAGATGGGGAGGAGGAGGAAGGAGTGCGAAAAGGAAGGGAAGGAGGAGGAGGAGGACGGGGAAGGGGATGGGAGAGGGTGAGACGGGGTCTGATGTAGGAGGGGTTTCTGGGAACAGAAAATGCACGAGGCAAGCGCAAGTTTGCGCTCCATTGGTCATTGGCTGCTTCCCCAGATCCGATGTGCCAGTCATCCCCGAACCGATCGCAGGAGTCACGTTTGGTCTGCTTTTCAGCAGGCTGCCAAAGGTGGGGTGAAGAAGAGGGCAAGAGGGAATTTATCCAAGCGAGGCCGAAAACGTGAAGTAGATCACGCAGGCGGACTCCAGTGAAGGAATACATGAGCCTCGGGTACGTCCCCGAGAAAGGAGTCCCAGCACGAGGGAGCCAGGGCACTGGTCAGCCCCCTTGGCGAGTTCGTTCCCGACCAAAAAACACCACCGAATTGGTGTCAGGAGCGACCTCACCGAAGGGACGGGGCCTCAGCTCTCCCTGGGAGGCGGCCTGCAGAGGCGCTCAGGTTCGTGGGCCCAGGCCCGCCCGAAGCCTATCTAGGCGGGGGCGGTCCTCCCCCTCCTCCCCCTCCTCCCGCCTCCCCCTCCTCCCCCTCCTCCCCTCCATCCTCCCCCCTCCCACCCACACTCCCCCCCCTCCCCCTCGCCACCCTCCTCCCCCCTCCTCCCACCCCCCCCCCCACATCCCCCAACCTCCGGCCCTGCCCTCCTGTCCCCCCCCCCTCCCCTTCCCCCCCCAACCTCCCCTCCCCTTCTTTGAGCAGGCGACCCACTACGCCTTCCGGCCGCGCCAGAAGCTGGGCGCTCCCCACGGAGTGGGCCCCGCAGCTGGCACGGAACAGGAAGGGGCCTGCGCTCTCGAACCGCGGCGGCCCCCGCCTGGGCAGAGCACGCGAGGGGTACGACGGCGTCTCGAGCACGTGCGACACGGAAACAACGGGTGCACCGAAAAGCCGCGGGCAGCTTCGGGAGAAGGAGGAGGAGGAGGAGGAGGAGGAGGAGGAGCAGGAGGAGGAGGAGGAGAAGGAGGAGGGCGAGGAGGAGGAGGAGGAGGAGGAGGAGAAGGAGGAGGCAGCGAGGAGAAGAGAGAGGGAAGGAAAGGAGGCCGTCTCGGGGATCGTCTCGAGGCGGGGCGGGCGGTCTCTGGCAAAGCCGCACATGACTAGCCACTCGCAGTCAGAATAGAAACAGAAAAAGGGCAAGTGGCAGCACTGGTGAGGCACATTGAGGGCGAACGCCTCGGCATTATCAGAGGCTTGGCGGGGCCCAGGCAAGGGGCCACGCAGCGAGGCAGATTGGGCGCCCCTATCTGCAGAAGCCTGCGCAAACAGACCAGCCAGCCCGTCGGAGCCGCGGGTCGTTGTCCATGATGGGCTTGCTTTCCACCGCCACCACCGTAAGTTGGAGGGGGGAAGGAGGTGGAGGATGAGGAGGAGAACGACGAGGACGAAGGGGAAGGAGGAGGAAGGAGGAGGAGGAGGAGGAGGAGGAGGAGGAGGAGGAGTGAGGAAAGCAGGGAAGGGAGGAGAGGAAGTGAAGAGAGAGGAGGAGGAGGAGGAGTGAGGAGCAGGAGGAGGAGGAGGAGAGGAGGAGGAGGAGGAAAAGGAGGAGGTGAGATGGATGAGGTAGGAGGAGGAGGCCAGAGAGGAGGAGGCGGAGGACTCCCTCCCCCTCCTACTTATGGTGGTGGCGGTGGGAAACAAGCCCACCAGTCCACAGCAGCAGCACAGGAGCCGTCGCCGGAAGCCTCCCCTCCGGGCGCCCCCCCCTGCTCGGGGCGGAGAGGAGCCGCCCGACAATCGGCGAGGGAGGCGGCCCCAGGGACCCATAGGGCCGAGGGTGAGGCACCCCCGGGCGTGCCGCCAGAGGGCCCCCCTCGGGATGTTCGAGGAAGCCCGCACGCAGGGGAGGGGGAGAGGTCGTAGTCGCGGACATACATCTGGGTGGTGATCGCTTTTTTAGTTCGTGGTTTTGCCGATCGGCGCGGGCCCTCGCCCCCCCCCCGCCCCCCCCCTCTCTCCCCCACTCCCCCGTGGAGTAGATCTTGGCTGTTTTTTGACACCTGTTTCGAGCGGGTGGAGCCCCTACCCGGTAGGACGCACGGTTCCAAACAGTCGCACTAAGCAGAGGTCTGGAGCCAGACCCCCCCTCCCCCCCCCTTCCGCCCAATGTCGAAACGCCGAAAAACAAAAATAAGCGCTCAAGTGGCAGAATGCTCGCCTGTCACCCAATCGGCCGACACTGGTTGGTGGGACACCCTAGCTCTGGAGTAGACCCACTAAAAGAAATGGCTACTCAACATATGGAAACATATGCTGTGCCGCGTGTTAGTTCACCGCATCAAGCGGCAGCGTTGAAAAATGATCAGTAGCAGCCCCAGCGGCACACCCGTGAAGAAGGTGCCCGTGAAAACGGCGCTGGGTGGAAAACGCGGTGCCCCCCCGCCCCCGCTGGGAAAACTCCCCAGAACGAAACCCGCAACGGCCTAAGCGCCGCAGTGGCCGGCACCCACGGAGCCCGTCCAACAACCACGCAGAGAGAGGACTTTTACGATGTTTCCACTCGTCACCGAGTCGTTGCCTCAATCCGCAGTGGTGCCGCAGGGGTGATCCGAGGGGCGACCGCCGCGACCCGTCGACCTTTGCGGTCCCTGCCGATGGCCACTCCAAAGAGCCTGGCAGCGGCAGCGGGTGGCGGTGCGAAGTCATGCCTCTACCGTCGCGTCGATTGGCACTCTTATGATGCCGCTTTGTAAAGCCGCTCATTGGCGACAGGTCACTCTTACAGGTCATCAGAAGACGACGCATGGTGCCGCGTAGTGCCTACTAGGTTTGCCTCGGCCGCGGGAACGGCCGACCCGGTGACCCCGAGCAGCGTGTCCAGGGACAGCTGCAGGAGGGCGTAGGCTTCGTCATCCTCACCCAATCGGCGAAAGTTCCAGGCCAGCGGCCGCAAAGTGGGCAGTGCGGGTCCGTACAAGACCGTGCTCAAGAAATTTGCGTTGCTGATCCCAGATGCCGTCCGTTACCCTGGCCCTGAGGCGGACCTGATGCTGTGGGGTCCAGTCGGCCTTCCTGGGTCCACTGCAGAGACGACGGAGCGGGGAGAGGTAAGGTCGAGGGGAGAGGTCGGACAGGGGAAGGGAAGGGACGGGTGAGGAGGATGAGAAAGAGGAGGCGGAGAGAGGCGACGAGGAGTCGGAGGAGAGGGACAAGAAGTAGAAGGAGGAGGAGGAGGAGGGGAGGGGGTTGGAGCTAGAGCATGAGGGGGTGGAGGCGGAGCGGGAGAGCAGGGAGAGGCGGGGAGGCGGAGGGGGACGAGGGGGAGAAGGAGCAAGAGGAAGACGCGAAGAGGGGGGGGGGGATAGGGTGAGGGGGGGTGATCGGGGGGGGGGGCGGGGCAAATCGCAAGCACGCCTGCACCCGGGAAGGGCCCCCCCCGAGCGAGCAGCGAGGGGGTGGGGGAACCGCCTAGGCGTCGACGAGGTCCCTCTGCCGCCGGTGTCGGGCCCTGCGTTGCCGCTACTGCTGCTGCTGCTGCTGCTGCTGCTGCTGCTGCTGCTGCTGCTGCTGCTGCGCCGCGTCCGCGCGTGCTCGTGCCCCAGGCCCTCAAGGGGGAGCTGACGAGCCAGAGCTGCGCCAAGGCAGCCTGCCGGGGGTCGAGCAGGGGATCGAGGACAGCATCGATCTGCCCCAGAAGTCATCTGCCGCCGCACCTGCGAGGAAGACGTAGGATGCTTCGAGATCTACGGAGCATTCTAACGTACTCCAGATTTCGTAATAAAGGGAGGGGGGTCTCATTTCGGGGGGGGGTCTCTTCCAGGCTATCTTGGAGGGCCTGGGGGGTCTGGGGACGATGTTTTGGAGGGTTCTCTCTCCCACGGGGTAGGTCTGAAAGGCTATGTCTTGAAGGGACCAGGAATCCCCCTCACCTTTTATTACGGAAATCATGGATATCTGTTCGTCATATTCCGGCGGAAAGCTCAAAGCTGGGGGTAATAAAATCTAATGCTGTAGTCTATCCCCAAGTCGAGGAGGGGTAGGGGGGGGCGCAGGGTTGCCGGCCTTTTGTCCGACCTTCTGAAGTGTCGCGGTGCCCTCACGGCCTGTTCGCTGTCGCTTTCTCGGTGCGGTTCCAGTGCCCATGGGGAGGCGACAGCGCAGGAGTTGGATGTTTATGATGATGATGATGATGATGATGATGATGATGATGATGATGATGATGATGCTGCTGCTGCTGCTGCTGCTGCTGCTGATGATGATGATGATGATGATGATGATGATGATGATGATGATGATGATGCTGTTGCTGCTGCTGATGATGATGACGATGATGATGGTTCTGATGATGGGTATGGTGATGATGCTGAGGTTGCTGCCGAGGCGAGGTCGTTGAAGTTGATGATGTTGGTGAGGATGATGGAGAGGTTCACGGACGATACTGATGATTGTTCTGGCGGGAAGGCATCAGATGTCACATCGACATCATGTCTCGTCCCTCCCGCCTGACTTTGGAGAGGGAGACGGGAGGGAGGATCGGGTCGGATCGGTTCGGGTGGCGGGCAGGGGTAGAACCTCATCGCTGTGCTTCTGGGCCCCCCCGTCTTGGAGCCGCAAGGGAGTCCTCCTTATCCTTCCCAGCAGTGCAGACATAATCTTGCAACTGGCCTGCCCGGAGGAGTTCGTGCGTCCGCCCGCCTCCTTCCCTGCCGCTCCACCCATGCGGTGGGGGCGTTGGTAACGGAATGTGCCAGGGAGGCTTCAGTTCCTGGGGGACTAGAGTCCCACGGCCAATCCACGATTGGAGTTCCACCGGCTTCCAGACCCTGGATTCTTTCTCCAGTGGTTCCTTAGCGAATGCCTTCACCGTGCCTCTCCCCAGAGCTGCAGGCCTGAACAGCGCAACGGGGTGAGCGCACATGCAAGGGGCGCCGGGGGTCTTTGATTGTCCGGCGTCCTCCAGGCTTCACACCCAGTCCCCGACTTATCGGGTCCAGTGCGAGCAGATCTTTTCATGGGAAGCTAGTGCGTGGGAAATGGGCGGAGGGAATGGACTGCTCCTCGCTGAACACACGTTTGGACCTCGTCTGCCATGGGAGCTTGTTTGTTGCCCCAAGTCTCCGAGGCGACTGCACCTCAGGGGTGACGACCAGCAGCGGTGCGGAGGGTGTGCCTGCAGCGGGACGCTGTGAGCGGCTCTGCGGCCGCGAAGCGGCAGAGTCTGGGGCAGCAAGACGGTGGCTTGTGCTCGTGGTCGGGTAGCGCCTTACCAGCTGAAGCTTTGCAGTATCGGCAACATCGGGGGACAAGCAGCCAGGCAGGCGTTCGTCTCGAATCCGTTCGGCCCGGAGCCGCGGAGTCGAGATGTGCAAAGAGGAGTACGGGGAGGAGGAGGAGGAGGAGGAGGCGGAGGAGGATGCGGAGGAGGAGGAGGAGGAGGAGGAGGAGGAGGAGGAGGAGCATGATCTACAGGAGGTTGGCCGACGTCCCACCGCAATATCTTTGTAAGCAGCGACGCGGACTGACCGGAAGTGTCATCCCATCCTTGCGGAAAGTCCGATGGGGTGCTCTTTCACTTGCGGTGTGGATCGACCATCAGGGTGATCATCCACGCAGTGCTCGCGGCGCAACAACTACAGCTTTGGTCCAAGGCCTCAGCGCACTGGCCGAACAAAGGGGTTGAGCAAGGCATCGACGCCTACGGTCCCTACGGCGTTGTGGCAACCATGGCGAAGCAGGGACTCTACAAGTAGTAGCATGTGCAGCCATGCGGACGCCAGACCGCCAAGATCTTCGCCGATGCGAGCCACCTCCGCACTCGTGGCCAAGTATGCCGCGACACGCACAGGGCCTGGGCTACATGCTCCAACAGAGAGGAGCCTGGCGGTCCCACCGCGACCGAGAAGCTACGACGAGCATTAGGGAGCGGCGATACCATCCCATGCGTCTGGCAGAGAGGCCTGATACCAATGGCTTGAACGGTGCCGCCAGATAGCGAGACGGACAACCACCTCATCAATTCCGGTGAGATGCAGACTGGGATCTTCTTGGACAGACCAGCCGAGCACGCCGTCTAGCAGGGCTACCCCGCGGTGATCCGCATTGACGGCAGCGGAGGAGCACATTCACAGGACCCGCGATGGCGGTGATGCGCAGGGGGATGGGTTTTATAATGATGCACAGGGGCCAAATTGACGGAGCCGATGATTGGGAAAAGTTCGCGCTGAACAGTTTGGACCTCTAGCTGGACAAAGACAGACTAACAACAGAGCGGACTTCTGGTCGACGTTACAAGCTATACGAAGCACACTTGGCAGACTTCGGATATGGAACAGTCCCGACGTAGCGATAAGCAGGATGTCAAAGCGGACGCCAACATCGGAAATGACACCGAATATCGAACATGGACATTCGGGACCCTGATTTGGCAAGCCATTCATCCGCGAGAGCCAGCGCATGACGATCCAGCCTCGCTTATTGTTCTAACGATGTTTTTCGAGCCACGTGGATGAGGAGCTGAAGGTGAAGCTGCACTTGGACGAGCAGTCGTGGCCAGGGAACTCCTTCGCGGACGACCTAGCCTAGAAGGCCGCCTCCGACCATGGGATCCCCGAGCAGCAGGTGCAGCTGTGCAGGTGGGTTACAGCCACGGCCGCGCTGGTATGGCGTCGTCTCGTACGCACATGACTGAAGGCCTGCGTATGAGGAGGAGGAGGAGGAGGAGGAGGAGGAGGAGGAGGAGGAGGAGAAGGACCCGTCCGCCCAGATCACGGACCGCGGGGCTGCCGAGGAGACAGAGAAGCAGGCAGCTAGTGACCCGAGCCTGGCCCTCAGCATCCTTCCCTCATGAGCTCCACCCCTCGACGAGTAGTAAATTTACCACCTCCTCAGGAAGTGGGGCAGATGAGGGCGAGGCTAGACAGCCTCCTCCAGACCCCTCGGATGCTGGCTCTCCTGGAAAGAGTTCGGGAGAGGGAAGAGGCGGCTTCAGGAGCTGTTTCATCCAGAAAAACTGGTAACCTTGGTCCCGCCCCTGGGGGGGGGGGGGGAAAACCCTCCACGAGTAGATGGCAGAATGGCCTCCGTAAAGAGCGAATGGGCAAGCGAGCCGGAGCTCTGGGCATCCAACGTTGGTTAAAGCAGCGTAATCATATAACCCTGTAGCAAAGACTGTCAGAGGGGTGTCGAGTGGTATATTCGGGGGCCACATGCGAACCCTACCCCTACCCCCATACGATTTCTGAGGGGGAGGGTGGGGCTCGCTTCGTTCGGGAGCTCCCGAGCGAAGTGAACCCCACCCTTCCCCTCAGAAATCGTGGGGGGTAGGGGTAGGGCTCGCATGTGGCCCCCTATGTATGAATTGACCGTTTTCGGTTCGCGGGAGGGCGTCGCGACCGTCATTTTTGCGGGTCCGGGTCCGTCGGTTTCGGCCCCAGGGCGTTTTCATTAAAGGGAGGTTTGCTAAAGGGAGGTTTGTCCACCGCCGAATGAGATTGAACTCGACCAGTCCACTGCTCCCACACGACGAGACCTGCCGAGCTCTGCTCGGCTCGGTGGTGCACAGCACGTGGCCGTCGTGCCGAAGCGTCCGACGTGTGGAGCGTGAGGGGCTGCTCTTCGAGGAGTGTAGGGCCCCGGCCAACCACGGGAAGTAGGTGTCGGGGGTGGACAGAGCCCCCACCCTGTCACGTCGACCAGTGAATTGTCCGTTTTTGGTTCTCGAGAGGGCACCGCGGCCGTCACTTTCCAGGCTCGCGCCCGCGAGGTCTGGGCACGAGGTCGTTTTCACTGACCCACGTTTTACCAAAGGGGCTTCTGTCCATCCCCGAATGTGATTTCTTGCTTATCAAACGGCAGCCATGTGCCACACTAGGGCCCAGAAACGTCCCTGTCTTCCCCGAGATGACATGCGTCCCCGAAGGCGTGCCTCGACACCGCCGTCGCCGAGTTCCCCCGAATTCTTCCTTCCTTCTTCCTTCCTTCTTCTCCTCCTCCTGCTCTTGCTCCTCCTCCTCCTGCTTCTCCTCCTCCTCCTCCTCCTCCTCCCTCTCTGCTCCCGGGATCCTCTGCGAGGCGCAACACCACCACCTGGTGAAGAGCAGGCCCCCCGGCCTCGATCCGCTGGTCACCAAGCGGCTGAACCAGGACTCCAGACATCCCTCTGCGATTGTCTCCGCTGGGCCTCCCGCTCCCTCTCTGGCCAGGCCAGGGGGCATGGGGCCGAGAGGGCCAGCCTCACAGGAACGTGTCCAAGTGAAGGCATGGGCCATCGGCAGGGGCGAGCGGCTGATCAACAGTGGAGCGTGGGGGTGGATCGCGCATGGCATGTCCGACTCTGGCCCCATTCTTTGGCGATCGGACTGTTGATCAGGATCGTTTTTCTGTTGAGTTTGCCCGTATGCCCGTGATCATTGGTCGTTCAGGGTTTTGCGCGTTTGAGTGGTCAGCACTTTCAGGACCGAGCGTCCACCATGGTCGCCATCATCATGAATCATGGCTGATGCAAGGGATTCGCTGGGTTCGTGTTTGATCGAGGCAGGGAGGTATGGCGAAGAGGACGGAGGGAAGGATCCGGTATGGCACGGGGGAGGCGCAGGAGGGAGGGATGGGAGGGATGGGAGGGATGCACGCAGAACGCTCTCTGGAACGGATTTGTCCTCGTCCTAGCTCCGTCCGAGTGATCCCACGATGCATCAGCGATGTTGCAATACACCCTCCCGTCCTGAGTCCCCCCATTCGTCCCTACGCGCTGTCTTGCTGCACCGCGAGGGAACCGACTCCCCCCCCCCCACCCCCCCTTGAAAGACCACATCACCAGATGGGCCTGCCTGCCATCTTGGCGCAGGGGCGAGGCCGCGGGCCCCGCACCGCCAGCTGCAGCGCCTGGCACATCGTCCGCTAGAGCGCGGCGATCCGCGGCGGCACCGCGCGCCGGCTGCGGCACGGGGTCAGGCGGAGGGGCGAGGCCGCGAGCCCCGCACCACCAGCTGCAGCGGTTTGGCCCATCGTCCGCGCGCGCGGCGATCCGCGGCGGCACCGCGCGCCAGCCACGGCGCAGGAGCCGGCTCGGGCGCGGGAGGCCCGAGGGTGCTCGTGCCTCGGTGCTGGCCCGGGGGCGCCCGGGGCGGCAGGGGCACTCCTCGGCTCAGAAGCGCGGGCGCCCGGCCACGGGGAGCGCGGCGCAGGGACAGCGTCTTCAGCTTCAGTGCTGGGATTCGCTCGTGCGCGCGAGGCGCGGGCTTGCAGGGGAAATGTGCGCGGATCTGAGGCCTGGCGTCAAGTCGGGCCTGTCCCTCCACAGGAGGAAAATTCAAAAACAGTCAAAACATTGTGTGGGGACGATGTTTGACTATTGTTGGCCGTTTTGGAATATTTTTCGAATTTCTGGTCCGTCCAAAGTCCGCCTGTAGGGGGACACGATCGACCTAAGCCTAGCGTCATCAGGTAGACACAGTGCAATCACCCAGGGACGGCCTCGGGGGAGGAGCAGCTCAGGACTCCATCCTCGCGGGCCCCGTGGGACCTCTGCGAGCGAGCATGGAGACATGCAGAATCACGACGCCGAGGCTTTCTCCAAGGTCTTGCGCGAGAGGAGCCGATGAGGAGGCACGAGTTGGAGATGATGCATTGGAGGGAGCTTGCGGACCTGCGGAGGCTGATGCGAGAAGTTATTGGCGAACGAGCACCAGAAGGAGCAGCTCGAGGACAACTTCATGACGCTCCAGGAGCAGGCAGTTGCCCGAGTAGCCGCCGAGACCTGCAGGTCCGCACCCACAGCGGTCACCAGACGCAGCAGCAGATCAACACAAGACGGCAGCTCGCACAGCAGCTCAACCAGCCTGACCCAGGCAGGCTGAAAGAAGTAGGTGCAGCCAAGGACCAGCAGCAGGCCCTCCTCACAGACCTGCACGCGATAGCAGAGGGCGCGCTCGTGGACCCAGGGACGATCAGTAGGGTAGCAGAGGAGGTAAAGAGCATGGCCAAGCTACTCACAAAAGGCGGTGAAGAAGGCGTACATCCACTGGGTGCACGACGCCACGGCAGGCAGTGCGAAGATGGCCCACGCCTACACCAAGGCAGCGGAGCGCAGCCACCTGGAGGACATCCTTGAGCACGAGGGCCGGGTCATCAACCACCCGCAGCAGCTGGTGGACTTGCGCAAAGAGGCATGGCAACGCAGGTGGACACGAGATGCACAGAAGGCCGAGAGGATCCAAGAGGCGCTGGCCAAGCTGAGGCAGGCTGCCTTGGCCCAAGAGAATGCCCTCGAGCCCATCAGCAAGGACATCATCGGCTCCATCATCCAGCACCTGAAGCGCACTGCTGGCCAAGGAGCTGACTGGTGGAGGGCTCCAGAGCTCAAGGCCATGGGCGCCCATGGGGCTGGAAGACTTCGTGCAGTGCCTGACCAGCTGTGAGCAACGGGCAGCGTGGCCGTGGCAATTCTACTTGGTGCTGGAGCTGCTGCTGGGCAAGAAGCCAGGAATCGGCGGCGAGCGCCCCATCGGCCTCATGCCCATGCCGTACCGTATTTGGAGCGCAGCCAGGAGGCCCATAGTAGCCACCAGGAGCAAGGCAGCGGCGGGCTTCTGGGACACGGCAGTAGCTGGCTCCTCAGCGCTACGAGTGGCAATGCACAGACTGATGAGGGCAGACGCCGCCACGGAGATGGGCTTTCATGCAGCAGGAGTCTTCTACGACGCGGCAAACTTCTACGACAACATAGGCCTCGACCAGCTGATCGAGAAGGCCAGCGCCCTCCAGTACCCGTTGCTGCCGCTGGCAATGGCCGTGCAGATGTACCTTGCGCCCAGGGCCATCATGGCCCACAGCCTCTTCTCGGACATCTTCGAGCCTGCCAACAGCATGGTGGCCGGCTGTGGCCAAGCGGTCGACCTCACCATACCGCTCTTGTATGGCATCCTGGATGCGGCGCGCAGGCGCTACATCTTCGTCGTCATGCAGCAGTGCCTGGACGACCTGGCCCTGCAGGTAGAGGGTGCGCGGCGGCAGGTCATTGCCCAGACCAAGTACGTGGCAGCGCTGGTGCACGATGGATTCAAGCAGCTCTCGATGCCCATCTCCGTCAAGACGGCAGTGGTGGCCTCGGACACGGACCTCCAGGCGGAAGTCGCCAGCATCCTGGACAGCCTGGGCACTCCCAACAAGCAACCTGGTGTAGTGCGCGACCTCGGCGTGGACACCAGCCTCGGCAAGCAGCTGCGGCGACCCACCCATGCAGCGCGCCAGGCCACGGCCAAGCAGAGGGTGGCCAAGCTAAAGGACCTAGCGAAGACGGACGCCAGAGGCGCGGCAAAGGTCTATTCAGCAGGGGCCTACTGCCAGCAGGCCTGGGACTTACCAGCGCACGGCATCACGCCCACGGAGGCGAAGTCGGTCAGGGCCACGGAGGCAGCGCTCCTCACAGGCGGACACAAGGCTGGACGCTGCACGTACACCATCCTCCTGATCCAGATGGGAATGCAAGAGGCGGTAACCCGAGCCATCGGCGACCAGATCAAGCACTTCTGGCTCACCATAGTCGACCACCCGACGGAGCTCAAGAGGTACCAGAGAGGCTGGCTCCTGCTCTACGCCAAGCTGGACGCCCTGGAACCCAACCGCAGGTGGCAGCAGGTCAAGGGGCCCATGGCAGGGGTCATCGCGCAGCTGCTTGGGTTAGGCTGGATACCGCGACGCCTGGACAGCTGGATCAGCCCAGCAGGTGACGAGTGGGCCTACAAGCCAGATGACATTCCTCACTTCGGCGCGCTCCTGCACGAAGTCCAGCAGAGCGCGCAGCAGCAGCTCTGGCAGCAGGCGGCTGGCCATCGCTGTGGAGAAGGACTTCAGGCAGGTGGCGACCTCTATCAGCTGCAGCGCCACCTGAGGAGGAGGAGGCGCAACGGACAGCATGCAGAGGCAGCCATGCTGGAGACCATAGCGGTGGCGGGCATCTGGGCCAGGGAGCGTCGCAGGGCGGCCAACCTCAACCAAGAAGGCGACGACACCTGCGCGAGATGCGGCGAGGCGATAGAGACAGAGGAACACCGCTACTACGCTTGCCCTGCCAACGCAGAGATAGGGCACAGCAATGGCGCCGACCTGGCGAAGAAGGCGAAGGACGCGCTGGACCAGCGGCAGGACCTGCACTTCTGACTCCGCGGCATCCCGCCAGCGGCCAGGGCAGCCAAGGTCGACCCAGACGAGGGCGCGGCGAAGGCGGCGCAGATCTTCTGCACCAGCGAAGAGGCTCAGACGGCAGCCCAGTCAGGGCACAAGGTTCGAGCAGACTATGTCTTCACGGACGGCTCAGGTGGTGCAGGGGCAACGGCCAAGGACCCCCGCCTCAGACGCTGCGGCTGGGCAGTGGTGGCCTTCAGGTTCGACGAGCACGGACGCCCGCAGGAAGTGGCCGCCTGGTACGGCACGATCAGGGCGCCGCACACGGTGCCACGGGCAGAGCTCACCGCTATGAGCAAAGCCATCGGGTACACCACGGCGGCGACAGTCAGGGGGCTCAACATAGTCAGCGATTGCAAGTGCGCCCTGGACGCGCTCAAGCAGATCCAGGATCTCGAGGACTTGGACTACAGGAGCACGAACTACGACCTCTGGCTCCGGGCGAAGCAGCAGCTGCAGAACAGCACGGGCACCATCATGGGCCACCGCATCCCAAGCCACCTGATCGAGCACCCAGCCGAGCTGGAGAGGTGGAATGGTCCCACTTGGTGGGTCATAGGAAACGAGATGGCAGACAAGTATGCAGGCTGGGGAGCGGAGCATGGAGCACTGGATCCAGCCATCATCGCGCAGCAGCAGATCAGGGACCAGCTCGCCACGGCGGTGCAAAACCGGCTGCTGGCCATCAACATGGCGGTGACGGTGGAGGACCCCAACAAGGCCCCTCAGCGTCCCAAGGCCAAGCGCCGAAAGCCGCAGACGGTGAGGGACAGGGCAGCCCAGCTGGGACACGACCTGCGCAAGCTACATCCGCGATGGTGGTGTGCAACGTGTCGCAGTGGCCCAGCCAAAGGACAAAGCATCAGAGACTGGCTGGCAGAGACGGGAGAATGCCTCGGGAAGTACGGCGGCCACCAGGACCAGCACGGCAACGTCAGGCTCGACTTCAAGGCGGTGCAGATCGGCACGCAGGTGGTGCACTTCTCCCACAAGACGCAGATCTCCCATGGCTGGCTCTGGTGCGAGAAATGTGGCGGCACCAGCTACCTCGGGGACCACACGAGCAGGATCGTGGCAGGAGTGGCAAGGAAGCTGGCCAGGCCATGTCCGCCGCCGACAGCAGCAGGGCGTCGGGTCTTGGCGGACATGCAGAGGGGCAAGCTGCCAAGAGGAGCTAAGCCAGCAGCAGACCCAGCTGATGAGGGTCTCAACGAGATCACCATGCCTGGTGATTTCAAGCTCGGCCTGAGTAACTATGAGGCGATCGACCTGGACGGGGGCAGCTCAGAGGCAGGGGGCCCGCAGCCAGCTCCACAGCAGCCACCCAGCCATCCGCACTCTGTCGTCCAAGCCAGCTGGAGGCTCGTGGACCACATGGAGGGCTACGCGGAGCAGTGGATGAACATGGTCGAC